TGAAGGAGACTGCTCACCAGCATGAAGCTTGTTCCAGCCCATGTGAAATTGAATGCAGTAACATAATCTGAGTAAAAAGTGGGAGTATGAAGAACATAATTCAGTCTACTTGCTCCTCTAGCAGGACCAGTCCAGGATTGAGTCTCTTCAAAAGGTATATTAGTTAGGGTTGTCACTGTAACCAAAATATCTGACTGGAACAACTTAGAGGAGGAAAAGTTTATTTTGAGCTCCTGGTTTCAGAGGTCAGTTAATGATCAGCTGATTTTGTTGCTTTTTGCAAAAGTGAGGTAGAGCATCATGGCAGAAGGGTATGGCAGAGGAAACGTGCTCACTTCATGTAGCCAAAAAGCAGAGAGAGTAACCTGTGCTCGTCAGCAATAAAATATATACTCCAAAGGCATGTCCCCATGATCCATCCTTGTGCCACACTCTACCTGCCTTCAGTCACTACCCAGTTCAGTTCTTTCAAATCATTCATTGAATGGATCGATGCACTGATTAGGTTACAGTTTCATAATCTAATTACTTTGTCTCCTGAATTAACATAGGAGATTGGGGGGACACGTGGGTTATCAACAGGAAATTTTATCAACACCAAAATTTAACAAAGGCAAATTGAGGGACAACCACATCCTGTTTGCAGTGACAGTTTTAAGACCATAATTTATATTCTTCATCTTCTTCTTTTATCACTTGCCTTAGTCCATTCCTGTTGATGTAACATACCACAGACTTGGTAACCTATAAATTATAGAAATTTATATAAATTTTTTTCACCATTCTGGACACTGCAGGGTCCAAGATCAAGGTGCTTGATAGATTTGGTGTCTCCTAAAGGCTCACTCTCTGCTTCCACCATGGCCCATCATTGTTGTGTCCTACATGGTGTAAGGGCAAAATGACTTGGTTGTCCCCTTCAGCATCTTTTATAAAAGCACTAATAAGTACCATTTGTGAGGTCAGGATACTCATCACTTAATCATTTCTCCAAAGTTCCCACTTCTTGATACTATTCACCATGAGGCCATCTGAATGTTAGAAAGATAAATACATTCATATATAGCACTGCACGGTAGGCTTTTTTATCCACAGGGATATTTAAGGTGCTCTATGTTCCTTGTGAAATGAAACAAATCATCTCCTAAGAAGTCCTGAATTCTTACTTACCTTGGTTTGTTTGACTGTGATTGCTGCTACTGTTAGTTCATCGTGAACCTGAGAAAAGTCAGTTGATGTCCTTGGTTCCAAATAAATTCCTTCATAGCTCCACTATGAAGGGATAACTCTGATTTCTCACTGTAACCAGGGTAACTTAAAACCACCAAGGTAAATTACAATTTATTCCAAAACTTATTGATTTAAAACAATGAATATTTTATCCTAGTTAATAATTTTATTCTTGTTTTGACCAGAAATTTGGGTTACATTTAGTTGTGTGACACTTCTGCTCTAAGGGGTTCCAATGAAAGACACTCTGTTGAATCATGATGACCTCATTCATGTCTGTGGTCTTGTTGGGGATGGATAGATGCATGGCCATTTGTGAATGTCAATTATAGTGTCCCCATGTTTCTAATCCAAATTGCCACCACATAGAGCCACTTGTTAGGATGTCCATCACCATTGGTGTGGATTCTCCCAATATCAGAGTCTGAGACAAAGGTCTGAGTGAAAGAGTTTTCTTTTTTAAAATGATCAATGGAAAAAATATAGGGCATCTGGATAGAGGACCAGGGGAGTAAAATAAAAAGGAATAAAAGTTAATAAAAAACAAGTCATTGATTTGCTCACCACTGTAAATAACTACTATTCTCTCTGAAGCTTTCTCTTAAATACATTATGCAATGTGTCTCAGAATGGAACCTCCAAAAAACAAAATGAAAAAGCACTTTTATTGGCTCTAATTTTTATGGATACCAATGCCTTACAATTCTAGGGAGAACATGATTGTACATATGTAAGACTGTGAGTTGAATAGTTTGTGGGACCCCACATTACAGAAGCAGTGAAGACATAAAGTACCAGTCCAGGAGAGAATCCCCCAATGATAGCTGTAGAAGTGGCAGAAATGGTGATAGCAACAGGCATTATAGTAAAACTTGAGCCAAAAGAAATTTGAAATTGTGTAAAAGAAGTTTTCAAAACACAGGAAAACCACCAATGTCAGGGTATGACGTTGTCTGACAGTTCTAATTTCAGTTTTTCTACTTATTGAAATAAAATAGAATATATATAGTTTTGGCAGCTAGAGATGGACCCTAAAGACACCTACCTTTAGATTTATTGTATATGAATAGATTTTAAGCAGTTCAACTGTTCATCAATTTTGTACCAAGAAAGAGTAAACTGAAATAAGGCTCTACAGAGAGTCTTGAGCAGTGTGAATGTTTTCTCTGGTTGTTCTTGGCTTACAAGGAACACAAGTGAATGACCAGGAGGTGAGTCACAGGAGTGCGGGTTTTTAATATGTAGATGTCTATCTCTTAAGTCAATGTAAACCAAGGATTTTACACCTTAGAGAGAGACTGAACCATCAGGGAGTTATCTTAAATTTGATTCAGCCTTTGTTCTCACTTACTCACTGTTGGACAAGATAGCTATGTTTGATGATTGAATCTTTGCATGAATCCACCAGCCTGGTCTCCCTCTTAATCTCACCAGATATTAAATGTTGGCCTGAAGGCAACAAAGATTGAAACAGATGCTTCTACATGATCCCTTTCTTCTTAGAGATCAGCCCGCCAGTAGATAGTAAGATGACCATACAGGTTCCTTTGCACCCTGAAGATGGTAGCAATTTTGTAACTGGAATTGATATGAATTCTGGTTATGTGTTACCCTCCTTTTCTTAGAGAATTATGGGAAAAACCTGTTTAAGGATTCATAGTGTCTGGTCTACTGTTATGTGACTCTGCTACACATCATCTCAAACACGTTTCTGATTTTACAAAAAAGAGGAACAACAATGTGAATGTAGTTATAGGATCCACTACTTCTTATACATCACCAAGATATTGCTAGCTTAATAAAACAGTGCAATGTCCATTTTGTGATGTAATAAGAAACACTGTTGAAATTGTTCATTGGCATTCAAGATCCAGTATATAGTTGATGAACTAACAGCCATTGCATGCTTACTAGAATATATAGGCCTGAACACTAAGGAATCAAATTAAAATGTTCTTCATTGACTCAATTATGAATTTATGATCCACTGCCCACATCCTGTGTTTCTGCTGGACTAGAAGGATGGTTTTAAGTGTGGAGTTAGGCAGTATTTCTCCGAAGTAAGATGTAGTAAGGCTCCATTACATCTAAAACTACAGCTGTCATGCAAACTCTCGTATTATATAAAACTTACCATTGGACCATCCAGCAGACAATGAATGAGATTGCTTTATTGGCAAGCTTAACTTCCAATAATTTATGTGAAGAGAATATACATGATTAAAGGAAGGAAGAGTATGTCTGGTTCTTGAGGATTAATTGGGAGTCTCTTGTCATTTCTGTGGTCTGTTCAAATACATTGGTAGTGAGCACACCCTAATTGGAACACAAAAAGATATTTTTAGAATCCCTTGTAAGTACATAAGAAGAACTGCTGGCTACGTATATGCAATCTAGAATGGGTAGAAGAGGGGGAAGAACTTGAGTATTAATTATGACCATGAAATCAATGGCAGTAATAAGGACTATAGCTTATATGTTCCTATTGTGGGTACATTTAAAAAAAGTAAACTATGACAAACCATCCATTTGAAGAAGTCTTGAAGTAAAGGAGTAGATTTTCTGTGAGATATGAGGGGATCTTGGCATATAGAAAATGATCTTCACAGATGCTGTGGGTGCCTCACCCATCTCCCCTTGCTACTTACCCTTTCTGCATATTCCAGTGGTATCTTACAACAAATATTTTAGATACCCTACGTTAGCATTTGCTCTCAAGGCACACGTAGCAAGGCCAGCAATGCCAGGGAGTCATGCTGCCAGGATCAGTCCCCGAGCAGATATTGAAGGAAGTTGGAGGAAAAAGCTCCATCCTAAGGGCAAGATGCCCAGGCAGATTTTACCTTGTTTCCTGGAATTAGCTCAAGGGGCTAACCTTGTGGTTCACACAAAAGGAACCACTGGCTCTTGCCCCATTCCTTGGCTTCATTCCCTTCCAATTTTCATTTCCTATCTCCTACTTTGTAGGATCACCTTCAGAGCAAATCCCTCAATCTCAAATCCTTGACTCCAGAATGGAATCTCAGGAAACACAGCCTAACAGCCCCTGTGTTCATTCTAAATTACAAATAAAACCAACGGTCCTGTACGATTATTGTCCGAATAAAAAGAGATATAATTATTTAAAAAGCAGTAATGATGTGGGTGACAATTACGACACACCACAAATCAGAAGGACTCTAGGAAGTGCTTGGGTTTGAGCCTTAAGATCTGATTATCAGTAGCTCTGTGGTTTTGAACAAGTGACTAAACCTCTCAGGGCCCTGGCTCTTCAGTTGGGAGAATTAAAATAGGGTACTCCACATAAAGAAGTGAACACTGTACAGGGAGTTATAGAAAATGTTTAATAAATGTCTTCCTTGCCAGCATTCTTTGTGTGCTGTGCAGAAACCTTTATCTTTTCCTGTAAATTAGTTCTTAGCTCCTGAAGCTTCCATAAAAAAAAAAAAAAGAAAGAAAGAAACAACAACCTTACTCCTATGTGAGTGCATTTAACATTCCAGTAAACTAGACCTACAAGAGTATGTTTTTCCAAACTGGAGATAAATATCATCTCAAGCTAGTTCAAATAACACACACTAGAAAAACTTGCAAAAGTTCTCAAAGTTTTCCTTCAGTAACACAATGCAATTTCTGGGAAATCATGCCAAATATCTTGAAACCTTCCACCAGAGGACGCTCAGAATATCCCCTCTGCAACTACCTAGTCACTGAATTTGCTCTGTGGTTTCAGTTTTGTAGAGAAACTTTGAAAACCCCTTGGACTTTTGCCATGCTTACATTTCATATTCAAATACTCTGCTGGGAGGTAGGAACTGGGGAAGAAAGAAACTCCCCAGGATTGGAAGAAGAGCTCATCAGAACTCATTACAGCTAAACTAAAGGACAACTGTTGAAACTCACCCTTACCAAGCCTTCCTGAAAGCAGCTTTTCTGCCATTTCTAAAAGCAGCTTTTCTCTCTGCTCCAGATTTTACAGGTAAGTTAAAATTGTGGGCAGGTTGGGGGTGGGGGGGCAAAAGGGAGGAAGATATTTGCAATGTTCAGGTATTTTTAAAAGTATTCCATCCAGGATAGGGTGCAAATTTTTCTGAGGTACTACAAAATGAACCCATTGAAGTCTAAATTGATGTGTAGCTAGATAACAGAATTCATTCAGTGTCTGCTAAGTTTGTTTCCTGCTTAATTAGACACAAAACTAGTGGGGGCTAGCTAGAACTTGAAATGTCTAAATATGTTTTATCCCAGAGGACACAAACAGGTTGAGTTGTAAATGGCAGAGTGGCAGTTGTGTGTATGGCTTGAACACAGTCAATATTCCAAGATGTGTCAGAGATTTGGCTCTTCGAAAAGCACTAAAGATGCTATCCAGATCACACCTGGGAACAACATAAAAAACACTATTATTGATATTGATACACAGAGCTATTCTTATTCATGAAGAAGTCTAAAACTTCAAAGCTGTTTTCTCTCACATTAGTAACTTTACCTCAAAGAATGAGAATTTATAAGTCTCCAATGTCTGAATACAGATTTGGTTTATAAATATTGCTTTGTAGCTAATTATTGTAGATCATGATTGGAATTTTCCCACATCTTTCTAATCTAAATATGATTCTAGCCCCTGCTATATGTAAGTCAGACAACCAGAATTCTACTAATATAAAGTACCAATATTGCAGTAGAAGTGGGTTGGAAGGGAAAGACATCTGGCATATGGGATTTCCTGCCTCTGAACACATGGTACTGTACAATTTGTGAATGGACTTCCTACTATTTGGTCCCATGTAGCAGTTTCTGTTCTAATTTGTCTTTCATCAGGATGGTTGATGAGAAAGGTCATTGACTATGAGAAAGGGATCATCAAAACCAGCAACAACAACAAAGAAATCCACAGTGTGTATAGTATGCTAGCAAAAAGAATCCAGATGTTTAAATTTTAAGACTTTCATGAAAAATGAATTCAAGCAGATAGTGGATTTTTAGCTTCAAAATAAATGATGATTTCTAAAATGGAAAAAATAAAAAAACCTTCTCCTTATGGCATGACAGGTCATAAAAACAACAATTTGCCTTTATGTTTCACATAGCTTTAAAATATTTTACCAAAGACTCTTCAGGTTACAGGAGTTGATGCCCAGAAGTAGAAAATTAGTGGTGAAAAATTATTAAATGAAATTTTTTTCATTTATATAAACAGTCATAAAATGATAACACTTTGAAGTTTTGTTTCTGTAAAAGAAATTATTAACTAAGTAAAAATCCCTTTGAAAAGTATGGCTTGAATAAACACTTGAATTTATTGGAAAATGCAACATAATGGCATAGAATTGTTTAATGTAATGCAGTCTAGACATGGACCTAAATAAGAGAAAAGCAAAAATTTATATATAGCAAATAATGAAAATAAATTTTCAAAATAGGGATTTTAGGAGGTAAAAACTGAGAAACATGAGTAAATCAAAATCCAGTGGAATGAGATAGATGCAAAAAATCAGAGGGTAAGACTCAGGAAATTAATTTTTCTTTGTTCACCAGCTATTTAAGAACAAGCCTGCAATCTGGGTATGGGGTGAAGGTGGGAGTTCATAACCCACTTGAATCAAAGTGTGGAATATGATATGTCAAGAAATTTGTAATGTTTTGAACAACCCACAATAAAAAATTAAAAAAAAATAAAATAAATAAATAAAAAAGAACAAGCAGGGTAGCTGATGGCTGGCCTAGGGACCTAGTTTACCTTGGTGCTTTTAGCTATTTCTTTTTATGTTTTGTTTTGTAATGTCTTCAGAAACAGGCCATGCTGGAAAACAGTTATGTTTTCAGGTTCAGTAAGCAAAATGTCTTTCTCTGCAAGAGCTAATATTACTGCCCAACCCATCTCTTCCTTCCAGACAAAGAAACACCCCAGACATGACCTCAGAGACCTACATGCCAGGCCCCATGTGCCTCATCGAGAACATGGAGGGGCAGCTAGTGGTCAAGCAGGAAGCCCTGCAGATCCTGTCGGCCATCACGCAGCCCATGGTGGTGGTGGCCATTGTGGGCCTCTACCGCACAGGCAAATCTTACCTGATGAACCAGTTGGCTGGGAAGAAACAGGGTGAGTGACACCAACAAAGCTCTGCTTAGCCCTCTGTCTACTCCACTGTGGACACTCTACATGTGGATGGAGGGGAGAAAGTTAGTGTCAGGGAGGAACAGTGAAAACTAATGTTTAGGCCATAGTTAGGCCTTTTAACTTGGAGAGATTGTTTTAAAGACCTAAGACAGCAGGAAACAATTTTATTTGGCTGCAGCCAGGTTCAGAGGGCACAGCTTTTGCTGTAATCAATCAATCCCCTGAATCCTGAGTTCAGGTAGTTTCAGAATTGTATACCCAGCATGTAAGGGGAGGGGCTCAGAAGTTCACAGTCTGCAGAAGATCACATAAAAGCAGCTTTTTCTTTCACTGTTTTGGGCAAGTTAACCCTTCAAGGATAACACCTGAGAAGGGGAGAGCTTCTTCTCCCCTTTCTTTCCTCCCCTTGCCAGCTGTTACCATGGAGCCCAATTGGTAACTTATCTTAGAAATGTAGACATCTCTGTGAAGCCTCAGCTCAAGGCCAGAGGCCTCATTTACACATTTCTACAAACTACTATACTGGATAAATGTTTGTAAAGAACTAGTAAGGGGGTGTCCAGCACCTGCAGTACTGATTTCTTCCAGGCTAGTGACCAAGTAAAATAGGGCATCACAAAAATAGAAAGTTTACCTACATTGAACTCTTTTGTAGAGACTCTTTTGCTGACAGTGTAAAATCAACCATGGTAAAGATTTCTGGAGAAGCTCAGTTAAGATTTTTTGTGGAGAAAGGGGTGCCACTATAAGATAAAGGGCAGATTTCTGTCCCTGACATATAAACCCTTTTTAAAAATGTTGACCTTAATGTCTTTCTGAGAGAAACACAATATATTCCTCTCATAAGGAATAAGACATCAATGAAATAATTTCCATATGTGTAATTATAAACTTTAAAATTTTACTTTAAAATTTAAAATTTTACTTTTTTATTATTATAAAAAACATAAAAATTTCCCACTTATGGAATTTGACTTTATTTCCCCATTTCTCTATTGTAATGGAGCTCAACACTCCTATTTTCTGCTGTTTCCTTATCTTGCTTTCCTTAAACCCTAACTCAATTATCAAGAAAATATGCGAATTCTAGATCCCCTTCTCTGTGACAACCTCTGCACTCCCCTCTGCAGGCTTCTCTGTGGGCTCCACTGTGCAGTCTCACACAAAAGGAATCTGGATGTGGTGTGTGCCTCATCCTGAGAAGCCAGGCCACACCCTAGTTCTGCTGGACACCGAAGGCCTGGGTGATGTAGAGAAGGTAAGGACAGAGGATTCTTTTATGATTAAACTCCTTATCACTGAACACACTTTGTACAAGGAGTTTTTCATTTGTTTTTTGTTTTTATGAATTTGTATTTCCACTTGACTGGACTATATTGCCCCTCATTTTTTCTTTCCATTTTCAATAGTGTTTGGAAGCCTGAAAGTGAGGAAATATATTTATAATACAGAATAAATATTAGAAGAACTACACTGATGTTTTGCTTAGTAGTTGCCAGATGCATAAATGGTGCAAATAAAATCACATTACAAGCCTGGTCTTGCACTGAATATGGTTAGTAGTGGGTTGAAGATGAGATAAAATTCTATTCAAATCAGGACTCTGGCACTTGTAACTCTCTGACACTGACAAGAAGAGTAGGTCTCCCTAAATCTTTTATTTTTTCTTTAGAATTATTCAACAGTACACCCATAGGTCTTGTCTAACACATGAGCCTTTTCTAGTTGTATGCTAGTAAGTATTTAACAACCAGCTCATAGAAAAAAAGAAAGACTTGACCTTTCCTTAAATATTTTTATCATAACTAAATACAAGCTACTCAAGTGAAGTCCCTAAACTCAGACTTGGGAAGAAAGGTACATAGTTGGATCTTATAAGCTGATTTTTGTACCAAACCAAACGATCTCTTGAATGTCTACTGTTTTTTATATTTTGATTTTGATTTTTACTTCTGACTTATCAAGATGCAAAGATGTTAAGACAAAATTTCATCTTCTGTTTACTCATATACAAAATGGAGATATTAATTATGAGCTCATAGCATTAGAATTAGATGTCTAAGATTGGTAATATGAACTCCCTGTGGATAATAATTTTATAATAAAATAGATATATGGATTGTGCAGATAGGCCAATTTTGTTTTGATACCTGGAAAACCTTCATTTTAACTACTCTGCTTCCCCCATTAACTTTGACTACACCATTTGCAGTTATCTAATAGTAGCTATAAGAGGGACTTGGGAATTAGAAATATATGCATTAGTATAAAATTATAAATGAGGAAGTTATGCAAGTTCATGTGTCTGACAATCACTTGTGTTTTCCCTGCTTAACATTTGTATATCAGGATTCTATTTTTAATGATTGTGCATTTGGGAATGCTGTTTGACATGACTTAAATTTGTTTGACTTCTAGGATGATGATAAGAATGATACCCAGATCTTTGCTCTGGCAATCCTTCTGAGCAGCACCTTTGTATACAATACCATGAACAAAATTGACCAGGGAGCTATTGACCTACTTCAGTATCCTTTTGTGGTTCAGGATGGCACCAAAGCCACAGAGAACACCACTCACCAGCTGCAAGTCTATGAGACTTTGTAAATCCCCCAAATGAAAATGTGTAGACACTGAACGTACAGACAAGAGCCCTCATATTCTCTGATGAGAAAATGTTTATTTGGCTGGTTGCCAAGTGGAACATCCAGGTTAGGGGAACATGGGATCAAATATGGGCTTAGATGCTGTGCTATTTCTGCTAGTTTTCCTTAATCATCTCAGCAATGTGACAGAACTGACAGATCTACTCAGGGCAAGAAAGTCGCTTGATCTTGGAGACGAGGATGCTGATGACATTGTAAGCTTCTTTCCAGACATGGTGTGGACTATAAGAGATTTCTACCTAAGCCTGGAAATAGATGGACAACTCATGACAGCAGATGAATACCTGGAGAATTCACTGAAGATAAAGAAAGGTAATTGGGCTTCTGTTTTGAAAAGAGGAAGAAAAGTAACCCAAGAAATGATATGTTTTGGGTAGAAAGCTAAATGTATATTTTTCCTATTTATCAACATAGCTGTTTTACAGAATATATAATGAATATTATTAATTTTCAATGAACTCATAGGCTCAATATCAAACTTTATTACTCCCTTTTCTTGGGAAAAATATTCTTTCCTTTTTTCCTTTTTCTGATTAAATACATTTAATCTGTTTGCTTAGGGTATATGAAGATATGTTTAACTGAGGATCACCAAGAAAAAAGACACGTATTCAAGGACAATGTATTAAAGTGAGTGTAAATTCTAAAGAAAAAAATCCTGTTTTTCCTTCTCCAGGTAGTGATCAAAGAACACAAACTTTCAATTTGCCCCGGTTGTGTATTCAAAAGTTCTTTCCTACAAAGAAGTGCTTTGTCTTTGACACACCCACTCACCAGAAGAAGGTCTCCCAGCTAGAGACACTGAAGGATGATGAGCTAAGTCTTGAATTTGTGCAACAAGTGGCAGAATTCTCTTCCCACATCTTTACCAAGTCCAAGATCAAGATTCTTCCAGGAGGCATCAAGGTCAATGGCCTTCGTGAGTACCTCTTCAAGGATTTTCCTTCTACTCAGAATAATGTGTAAGAGATATATAGGAGGGTCCTTGTTGTGCCAACCTTGAGAGATGCATAAGCAGTTACCAAAATTATAATGGTGCTCATTTTCTTGGTGATCCTCAGTTAAATATATCTTCAAATACCATCATGCAAATCATATGCACCATGTAAACTTATAGTGAATATGAAACATATCTCTAGTATTTGTTTTAGTAATGCCTTTAAGGTTACATGAAATAAGAACATGAGGATAAGATGAAGTTAAAGATGTTGTATCCTTCCGTCTTCCACTGTTGACCTATATTAGGTCATATGTGTTGGCAGCATTTGTTTAATAAATATATTGGATTTTTAAGGTATGTTACAATGTTTGAAGGCACAAATTATAAATATATTCCTTTTAGAAATGCAACTTGAGTGATACAATTGTTGAACTATGCCCCAAGTGGTCTAGAGCCTCTAAAAATATCTAATCATACTTCTTGCTGTAGCTTTCCATAACAACTCTATGTTTCACAGCTTTGTAAATAATCACTATATTATGCACAGAAGTTAAGTGCAAATGACAAAGAAGTAAAACAAGGAAGTTCTAACTAAGAATAAAGGAATATTGTTCTAATTTATTCAATTTGCCCTTTTTCAGGGAATGGCATCTCTCATACCAGTGTATATATGTATATATGGAGATACCATACCAGTATATATATTTGCATATGATTTGCATGATGGTAACTGCTTATGCATCTCTCTCTCTCTCTCTCTCTCTCTCTCTCTATATATATATATATATATATATATATATATATAAAAA